CTCTCTCTCTCTCTCTCTCTCTCTCTCTCTCTCTCTCTCTCTCTCTCCTGAATCTCAGGCTTAGATGGAATAATCAACTCTTTTGGAGTTGCCTTCAGAACAGAAGGCAGGAAAGGAGTTTGAAGCCAACAAAATCAACTCAGCTTTGTGGTTAGTAGAAGGACCCTGCTGGCCCTGCTGGCCCTGCTGGCCCAGGATTTTTTCACTCACACCAAATCAAACCAAACCCCTTTCTTTAGAAAAGCTGTGGATTTTCAAGACTGTGTTTCTCTGCATAGTCCTGGCTGTCCTGGAACTCACTCTATACACCAGGCTGGCTTCAAACCCAGAGATCTGTCTGGCTCTGTCTCCCAAGTGCTGGGACTAAAGAAGTGCACCACCATAGCCATCGAAGAAAAATAAATTTTTATTTTTATTTATTTATTTTGGTTTTTCGACACAGGGTTTCTCTGTGTAGCCCTGGCTGTCCTGGAACTCACTCTGTAGACCAGGCTGGCCTTGAACTCAGAAACATGCCTGCCTCTGCCTCCCAAGTGCTGGGATTAAAGGCATGCGCCACCACTGCCCGGCTAAATTTTTAATAGTTTAATAGTTAAACGCTAGTTAAGATTTTAAAATGAAATGGAAACATCGCCCTCTAGGATGGCTTGAAATTAGACCAGGTTGCCTTCAAACCCCTTTCTTGCTATTCATACTTATTAAGCATTTTCCACAAACAGCCTAAAGACAAGGCTCAGACCTTAAAAGGAACAACTGACTGACTTTGAAACTGCAGACCTGTTGGCAAAGAATGGTTAATTTAAAACCTTAAATGAAAACAACCAGTTCCCCCACCCCCAACTTCTAACCATGACGTGGAAATCACATCCAGGCTTTGTGAATAGTTTCCCAAGATGTACCAGAGCACCTGGCTTCTTTCCGGGAAGATATTCGCGCTCTAAACAGAAACTTCAAATGTCCTTATGCACCTTTGTCCCTCAGGACCCTGGAGGTCCCATTATAGACACGAGGAAGTCCGGGTGTGAAGAATTTCTGATTTTCAAAAGAAATGGTATAGGTTGAAGGATGGACATTAGTGAAATATTTGGCTAAAGAGGGAGAAAGAATCTAGGAAGGGGAAGTAAGGAAAAGGAGGTGAGGGAGGGAGAAGAGGAGGGAGGATCGGAAGAAGCATTGGCTTTGAAACCTCAAACAGCTCCCTTTCTTTATTCTGAACCTTAGATTGTTCAGCCGTTCTGTTTCTGGGCAGACAAAGGCACCTAGTCCAGCTCACCTGTTGGACATCACGGGAACACTCAAGTTTGTACCCTTTTCATTGTCTTCAATTTGGAGCCCGGGTTCTCTAAATTGGTCCCAGGAGAGAGTCCTAGAGGCAGACTTAGCCATTCGCATGACACCAGACGCAACCTCAAAGTTTTCAGAAGCTTGGGTCTGTTTTTCCAGAGGTCTGCCAGCATCTCTCCGGTAATACCCAACTGGCTCTCGTGCCCTCAAGAATGTTCTCCTTGTGTAGCGTCTAGGTTAAGCCTTATGATCTTCTCCCTTATCCAGCTGCCCGCGTCCACGTTCACATTCCAGGTCCCAGACCCCGATCACCCTCAGCCTGCTGTTCTCACCGAGGTTCCTGCGGTCGAAGTGGCGCGATGCTGGAGGGCTGTGGCGATCCGCTAATGCCCGAAGGCAGTCGGCCCTCCCGGGCTGCAGCAGGGACGCCTAGGGGCACCGCACCTCCGGGAGGTGGCGGCGGTGGCAATGCCAGCAGCTCCTCACCCGAGGTCACTGCACAATCCTGCTCGGGCTCTTCGCCCCCACCGCCCCCGCTTGCTGTCCCGCTACTACGTTTCTTATCTTCTTCTTTCTTCCACTTCATGCGACGGTTTTGGAACCAGATTTTGATGTGTCTCTCAGTCAAGTTCAGCATCACTGCCAGCTCCACCCGGCGAGGTCGGGAGATGTATTTGTTAAATAAGAATTCCTTCTCCAGCTCCAGCAGCTGCGCCCTTGTGTAGGCTGTACGGGTCCTCTTATTCTCCTCGGGTTCCGCTGCGTATGCACCTCCTGTGGGTGACACCATCGGTTAGCGAGGTCCCCCAGGCCCTATGAAGCTCAAATCTCTTATTCACAGGCCAAGAACAGACCTCCTACTGATCACAACTGTTTAGTCCAACCGCAGCCCTTTGCTCCAGAGCCCCACTGTGGTGGCATCAAGACTCTTCCCTAGGCAATGGTGCCCTTTCTCTCAGAGGCATCCTGGTTCTTACCTCGATATTACGCTTGGATCTGGCAGCCAGTGGTTTCAAAATTGGTTCATTTAATTGATGTTAAAATGGCTAAAATACACATAATAGAAAAGTTGATTGCCTCCATTCTACTAAGGATATGGTTTAGACATAGGATTTTAAACAAACGTTCTGACATTGACCCAGTTCAGTCTGATTATTATCTCGTCCTCATAGAGATGAATTCATATATATATATATATATATGTATATGTATATGTATATGTATATGTATATGTATATGTATATGTATATCCGAGAAATATTTCTAGAGTAAACTTTTACCACATATAATGATAGTTTTCTTCTTTATTCACTGTTTTGTTAAAAACAATGCTAAACTCAACAGGTTAACTTATTTTAACAAGATCAGAGCTCCGTGGTCTTTAATTCTAGCACCCAGGAGGCAGAGGCAGGGGGAGGCAGCTGGAGGTTGAGCTTGGTCTGCTAGCTAGTTCCAGGCTAGCAATAGCAACATAATGAGTCTCAAAAATAATTTCAAACAAATTTAATAACTCATTAATAGATGTAGACTACAGTTTGAAAGATTATGGTGGTCATTAACTTATAGACTTATTGACATTTTTGTTATTTCTTTTAACATATATCATTTTTATTGCTTTAAATATTTATTATTATTGCATGTAGAATATGCACGTGAGAGCGAAGCAGTGTGCAAGTGGAGTTGGGAGAACAACTTTAGGGATGTGGTTCTCTCCTTTTATCTTAGGTTTTGTTTTGTGGATTGAATTTAGGTCCTAAGGCTTGAAAGGGAAGTTTTGCTTTTGTTTTGTTTCATTTGTTTGTTTGTTTCAAACTTTCATCTTCCTGGGCCTGTATATTATTTTTAATATAGTTATAATTAACCACAACTGAGTGCTAATTGCTACTGTAATTTCAGTTAGCCCTCTGCCTCAGGGGAGAAGAAATACTGTTTTGGGAAAGGTCATATTTAGCAGGAGACCACAAACGTTGCTGAGGCCAGAACCAACCTGAACCAAGAGCTACTCTGAGAAAGAATGGGTCACTAAAGGGCTTGTTCGGTCCAGCTCCAAACCCGCATCTAAAGCAAGCAACAGGGCCAAGTCACCAGGAAATCAGTGACACAGGAAATCAGTGTTTCCCAGGTCTGGGTCCTTCCTGTCTCTACAGAGCACCCACTGCACTGGACTGTGGACGCTGGTTTGAGGACTCTCCAGCAAAGCTCAGTGGAAGAGGCTGAAGCTGGCTTGATTCAAGACAGAGCTGAGAGACATTTTTCAAATAGCTGAAAGGTGAATGAGTGTGTTGAAGGCAAGGGATTAATTTCGGGGTGGAATCTGCTCCCGTCTTCCCTCAGGTCATGGGGAGGCACCAGAAGCTGAAGTGAGTCCCCCTAGACCACTCTTTGGAAAGCACTCTTTGACCTTGTTAAAATAAGTTAACCTGTTGACTTTAGCATTGTTTTAACGAAACAGTGAATAAAGAAAAAAATTATCATTATATGTGGTAATATATACTACTTCTTGTCCCCAGGAACACAAACCTGTGTCCCCTTAAAGAAACATTTTAAATTGCCAACAACGTAGCTGGCAGATTCCCACCCTCAGCTGCCTACTTTGTCAAGTCCTAGTGAAAGACTGTAGGAACCAGTGTTCAGCTAGAGGAAGCCAGGGGTGGGAGTTAAAATTAGAATCTGCTGGTGAGATGTTCAGAGTCTCCCGATCTGATCCTTTTCTGGGATTCAGTAGAATTTGCCAGTGAGAATTGTGAAGTTCTCTTAGGTCCAATTATTTATAAGCGGTTATTGCCACTAGCATTCGTAGTCCCACTATAAGCCCTTTGGTCATTAAGCACTTTCCAAGGCTTGTGAACCCACTAAGCACACGAAGGTGCTTCTGAAGTGGAGCCGGCTGCAGCTCCTTACAGGCTTCCACCGGGAGAGCATAGTGGTAATCTGCAGCGAGCCCTGCTTGCAGAGGGTCAGAAAGCCCCCACCCCGCAAAGGCTTCTGGTACCCAGATCTCACAGTCAGAAGGTGTCTCCACAGGGTTCCCCAAACACAGGAAAAGCTTTCTGCTTCCCCTCAAATTTTACTCCCTGGCTTCTTTCCACTCTAGCCCAGAGTAGGAGCAGACAGTCAGAAAGAATCTCCAGACTTTGTTCCAGGGATCCCCAAAATCCTTGGCAAGAAGCAAACGGGCTGAGAGCCCCGTTGAGTGGAGGGTCTGTCTTCGGTCACCCCAATAGCACGGTCTCAGCGCCCTTTGGCCTTGGCCTTGAGAGGCCTCAGCAGTGGTCTACCTGTTCCATCTGCTTGGAATTGGTCAGATGTGGGGGATCTCCCAGCAAGAGTTTGGGCCATTGCCTCGCTGAGAAAATGAATTAGCTAGAGGAGCTCCCACGCCCACCCCCGCCCCTGGGTCCTTGGTGAACCTGGTTACCCCCATACCCTCTCGTCGGAGCTTTACTTGGCTGCTCCTGCAGTAGTGTCAGATCGGGCGCCTTAGGACCCGAGGACACTGTCGAGAATTCTCAAGGGATGGCAACTCCAGCTTCTTAACCCTTGGTTCCCGACAGTCAGTTGGAAGGCAAAAGAAAAAACAGCTATTTGCAGTCCAGGTGTGACCAGAAGTGGTTGCAGACCGGAAGAGATAACATTGTGCAGCGGCGGGCACAGGCCTCGCACGAATTGGCTGCCAGCATCCGGCGGGGTAAGGGACCTGGGGCTTGCACGGCTTGGTCTCTGCTGGAAGGAAGGACTTATCACAAAGCAGGCGGCTAAGGAAACCCAGTGGGTCTTGCTTCTTTGAGCGGGACAGCAGGAAAGAGGTCCCTTCTTCTGCATATTTACTTTCTGGGACACAGCTTAAGAGAACCCTTCAAACCCTCTTGGTTGGTCCAAAAAGAATTGGCACCCCAGAGGCCTCTGCCAGCTGCCAGACTCAGAGAGTGAGCCACCTGCCTTTCAGCCTGTCGGTGAGCACCTCATGTTGTTATAGCCTCTCCTTGTTCACCCCGCACCCCTTATCCTACTCCAGGACCTCGGCACCCTACCCTTCGCAGTCCTGGATGGAAGCAATTTTCCTTTCCCTTCCTGTTTTACTGCTACTCGGTGCCCCTAGGAGGCCCCCGTTTCTTTAATACAGCCACTAGGACAGGGCTGGGAAGTGAAGAGGCCTAGGGTTCCCAAGGAACTCCAGCCTAGGTCAAAGATATCTTGCTTAACTTGCTTGGTGCCCTTGGTGCCCAGGAGTCCAGGTTCCTCGCTGCAGAAGGATCCAGAGAGTTCGGGAGTTCTGAGCGTGACTAGGCCTCTTCTTTCTCCAACGTGGGAGCCGGCTCCCAGGGTAAGAAAAGCTCAGGACACGCGCAAGGAGGGAGGAGTGCTGAGTGGAGAAGAGGCTGCCAAGATGAGTGGACTTATTGGCTTCCTTAGAGTTTGTTCTAAGACTATGTTATCCCTGCGGGTTACAGAGAAACTTGGAGAAAAGGCCCGGGGGAGCGCTTGAAGATAGTGGCAGCCGAGTCCCGACTAGGAGAAGAGAAAGGGAGAAAGAGCCAGGCTTACCTGCCCATTGGCCTTTCCACGCGTGAGCTTTGGTGGATTTCATCCATGGGAAAGGGAGCTGAACGCGACTGGGCTCTTCCAGGCCCCCAGGCTCGGTTCCATTCGGGAAAGGTCCGGGAGGAGGATGGGCGAGACCGAGCTGAGCTGGGAGGTGGTGGTGGAGGTGCGCGCCAGCCGGGTCGTCGGCGAGCGGGGGAACCTCGTATGGGGAGATGTCCGGGGGACTTCCCTGCTCCAGTGTTCCCAGCGAGCCTGCAAACTGGGGTGGCGGCGGAGGTGGGGGCTGGCGGCCCATGTACAGGCACGCAGGGGGGTTAGCGCTGAACTCTGGTACCGGGCCCCTCTGGAATGCGCACGGGTCCTTGTAGAGTTGTGTGGCCGCATAGTACTGCTCGTCACTGTTCATGGTGGCAGCCGGCACTTGGGGGCCAGCAGCCCCGGATAGGGAGCTACCAGTCAGGCCTTAGGTGCTGGGCGGCTCGAGGATTATCAGCGCCACCCCAGATCGCTTTGACAGTTCTCCACTGCTCTCCTGGGGAACCAGGGGCTGGCGGGGACACACAAGCCGGCCGCCGTGCCATAGGCTCTGGGGCACCCCACGTGGTTCAGCCTGAAGCTACCATTGGCCTGGCGGACTGCCTTAAGAAGGAGACCCAGGTACCCGCGAACACCTGCACTTGTTTCAATTTTCTCTCTCAGTCCCCTGATCCCTGTCTGCGGCTGCGGAGCTCTCCAAAACAGGGCTCACAAAGATAGCAGAATCTTCACTCTTTTACAAAACCGCTCCCAACGAGCTTTAAAAAAAAGTTTACACCTTCTCTCCACACACCTCCGATGTATTTTGTTTGTTTGCTTTTTAAACACAGTGGGACGGGGGTTGGGGAAGTCTAATTTGGTAGCCCTGGCTCATCTGCAACTCAGGATGTAGTCCAAGCTGGCTTCAAACTCCCGTGGAAGCCTTCGTCCTTCTCCTGTCCAGTTCTGGGGTTGCAGGTGTAAGGCATCACGCCTAAATTTTAATTTTCTTGTATTTTTATAATGTTTGTAAATAATAGTGTGATATGCATCAATAAATATGATTTGCAAAACGTCAAGGGTGCAACTGCTGAAGAATGCAGGGTTTGAGAAATGCTTGCAGAGCCCAGCTCTGTAAGCCTGAAGCTGTCGTTTTTGTTGTTGTTGTTTTGTTTTATTGCTCAAACTATCTCCTTATTTCGCTTTATTTGCATCTGTTTCTATGTTCCCTATACTTCTAGCATTACGACTACTAGCTCTGGAAAAAAAATCACAGTGTCTTAGATTTTTTTTTTAGTTGAAGGCTATTGTTATTTAATTTTAGGGATTGGAACCTATTTGATTAACTGAGAACACACTCCCAAAAGTGCCGAAGGAACAGGAAAGCGTTGTCTTTGTGGTTGAGAAGTTGGGCAAAGGGTTGGCACGGGGTTTTCAAATCTCTGACGACGGTCCTGGAGTCTCTGGTGGAATCTATCCTCAGAGAAAACCCCATTTTGCGTGTTGTTGAAACAGGGCAGGCAGCGGAGCAAGGAGAGGAGTGGGTTGCTTAGAAAAGGAGATTAAAACACCGCATATTCAGGATGCCTGTGCCTGGCTTCCATCTGTCAGATACTTTGGATACTGGGGGTGGAGGACGCCTCCTTTAAGCCGGTGACTTTAATTTGAGTGTGCGCCCCGCTGGCAAGGATGGGCTAACTCCCAGTGGTCACGGTGGTTTTTGTCTGGAGTTGATATTACCCAGGCTGCCGACTCAGGAGTTGCTTGGTCTGCCTCCGACCTGGTCCTCCAAAGACAATGGAAGATTTTGGAGAATTTGGACTTCTTTGCACCTATGCAGAGAGCCTCTGTAAATGAAGGCGGGAGGCAACCAAGAGGAAATAAATCAGAATAGACCGACTTCCATTCAACCAAACTATACACTCAGATCTAGACCTTTGCAATTTTAATATTTTTTTTCTCCTAGTGGAAAATGTGTTTTAAATGCATTCAGTTGGAGTGAGCTATTCTTAACATCAATTATTAGACGCAAAAAAAGAGGGGAGTTTTGTACTCTGAAAATTCTTTCCCTCCTAGGATCACTGAGGGAACTCAGGGCAGAGGGGAGAGTGTCTCTGATTTCTTCAGGGAAAAGGGCCACCTGTGGCCCACGAGGGGCCTGGGAGTGAAAGGCCTGGGCGCCCGCGCACCTAATCTCGCTACAGGCCTGGCCTCAATGAGTCCATTGTTCGGGTGGCCGCCAGAGACTCGATGCTATCTCCTGGGCCGCGAGTGGCCACATCGATCGGAAGGACAGGGCCCGAGGGGGGTGGCGCGGCTGCAGGGTGTTGACCCTCACAGATAATCTGCCTAGTGGCCACGGGTTGACTTGGTGACGCGGTTATGAGCGGCTTCGAGCTTGGGACAAAGATAGGCACTTTCCCTATGGTTCCTCTCCTCACTTGGTCACTCCCTTGGGGCTAGACACCCCCCCCCCGTTCCCTCCCGAACCCCAACCCTAGAAGCCTGCCTAACCCACACCCCCAGGGTGTTTGCTAAGCACTTCTGGTCTAATTGCGTGCATTTCAGTAAATTGGCTTCCATCTCGATGCTTCATTTATTCCCATTTAATATTTTTGCTGGCCTTTGCAAAAAGAAAAGTGTTTCTCAGCAGAAAAACAAATTCGCTGCTTTCCATAGGAAACAAATAAATTCTCCCAGGCTGAGCAAAAACTTGAGACGAGGATTGCCGACCGTGTGTGTGTGTGTGTGTGTGTGTGTGTGTGTGTGCGCTGTCTACACAGAGGCATATTCTTTGATTTCAGAATTAATGTTTTCTGCCATCTCCTTTCTTTAAGAGGGATTTAGGAAACAAAGATTCAACAGTCATTTAGTACACCTTTAGAGAGGCGAAAGTCACCCCGAGCTTTTGATTTGGCTAATGGTTACAGAAGCAGAACCCTGCGGGTCTTTCTCTTTGCCTCTCTGGCTCCCAGTACCATCAGGTGGCCAAATCCATTATAGGTGATACGCATTTCCGCTCTGAATCCAGGCCGCCTGTGCCCTCCTGTGCCTCCAGCAGGCCTCGGAGATACCCAGCCATTAGGCAAGAGCCTTCTCGAGCCATTTAACAGCAGCTCTTATGGATAAATAAACAAAAAAGGCTGTAAACCAATTATACTGTGGACAGTGAAAAAGTCTTTTATTAGCAGGACGTCCTGATAGTCCTCCCTGATACTGGAGGTACTCTGCCTCCTCTCTTCCTTCCACTTTTGCTGAGACTCTGTTCCAGCCCTGGCCTGGTTTTGAGGCACCCCAAAGGCTGGTTTGGGCTAGATGGTAGGAATTAAGCCATCCTATCCCAGTGTGTGTGTGTGTGTGTGTGTGTGTGTGTGTGTGTGTGTGTGTACGCACGCGTGCGCGCGCGTGCGTGTGTATGTGTGTGGGGGGGGGGAGGATCCTCACTTGCCAGGAAAGATAGGTTTCCATAAACTTTAATTTTTAAGGCCATATTCCTTTCAAAATTATTTTGCTATTAAAAATTAAATGACATTATGCTGAGTTGAGAAAATCCAGGAACACAAACAATGTATATTTAATGAGAGTACTATGTTCTTGACTGATTTTTTTTTCTTGCTTATTATGATAGCAGGAATGTTAGTGGCCATGGAAGCATGCCTAGAGGATTTTGCTCAGGGTCTCAATCCAGATTCAGAATCTGAGTCACAGCAGGGAGGAGGGACCTGGAAGTTACAATGATGATGCCTTCAGTTGCTTTCTAGGGCAAAACAATTCTAGCGCCCAAAGCAGAAAATGGAAATGATTTTCCACATAATTCAGCACCCCAAACCCCACCACTCTACGTTCAAATTGTTTTAGCTTTATTAGGGTTTCTATTGCTTTGACAAAACACCACGAGGGTTGATTCCAGCTTACAACTCTCAGGCCACACTCATAGAGGAGCATTGCTTGCTGGCTTGCTCCTCACTGCTCACTCACTCAGCCTGCTTTCTCGTAGCACCCAGGGCCACCAGCCCAGAGGTGATATTGCCCACAACAACTGCCAACCTTGAAAGCCCACCCACCGAAGGCGGTGAGGGCATATACTCAATTGCTATTCCCTCTTCCCAAAATGAGTCTACCCAGTGTCTCTTTGAAACAAACTAGCCAGCATGTAAATACAGCTTAAAAATGGAGGGCGTTTGCACAATGCTCTTACAATGTATCCTATGTGAGTCAGTGTAGAAGCAGCTCCTGAGGAGGAAGAAGGAGACTCTGGAGGTCCTGGAGTTGGCTATACGCTTGCTCCTCAGGAGTGAGCCAGTGGTGGCTTGTTTTAGGTTTCATCCTTCTATACCCTTCAATCTCTTCAAGGTCAGCTGCTGTGCCGCCCACCTCCAGTCTCTGTGGCCTCCCCTAGAAGTTGCATTTCTACTCCTCCAGCCTGAGTCCACCCAAGCCCTGGTTTTTCTCAACCTACATGTGCAATGCCCTATCCTCCCTGCCTCCCTCCCACCCTTCTGTTCTAAGTCATCTATAGCAAGCTTCTAGCAACATTCCTGCCCCCACCCCATCCCCTTAGGGACTCCTCTTTTCTTCCAAGTTTCTGCCATGTTCCACACTGCCAGGTCCCTCCTGCTGCCTCCTTCAACCTCTGATATTTTGAATGGTTTGTTGGCTTCAATGTTATTTATTGATTAAATGCCTATAGGACACCTACTGTGTGCTTGTTTTGGAGGAGTCAAACTCAGTGGTGGAGATGTATTTGAGGGCTGAAGAGACAGCGCCACAGTTAAGAGTGATTAGTGCTTTTGCAAAGGATCTAAACTTGGTTTCCATCTCTCTATAGGTAGCTCACAACTGCTTATAACGCCTGTTTCAGGGACCCACACCTTCTTCTGGACTATACAAACATCTGCACTCATATGCACACATCCGTACGGTGATACATAATACATACATACATACATACATACAGACATACATACAATTACAAACCTTAAAATTATTTTAGGCTTACTTATTTTTATGTGCATGAATGTTTTGCCTGCATTTATGTGTACTGTGTGCACATCTGGTGTCTGGAGCTGTGGATGGCTGTGAGCCGCCATGTGGGTGCTGGGAATTGAACCTGAGTTCTCTGCAAGAGCAGCCAATGGTCTAAGCGTTGAGGCATCATCTCTCAAGACCGATGGGCCTTCAGAATCTAATCTGGCTGCTGTGACAGTATCCTAGCTTATTATACAGTATACTCAAGTATATATTTAGATAAACTCTTAAACATCGAAGGCTTGTCTTGAACTCACTAGGTAGCTGAGATTGGCCTTGAACGACTGAACTTTTGGTCTCTGCCTCCAGAGAGCTGGAGTTATATTCATGTGTCAGTACCCTCACTTTTTAGGTTAGCTTTTTCTTTTTTCTTTTTGTGATGGAGAGCAAAACCAGGGTCTCATGTATGTGAAGCAAGTGGTTACCACTGAGATACATTGCCAGCTCCGAGAATCTGCATTTACCTTACACATTCACAGGCATGCTATACATCAAGAATAAGGACA